TTCCTCTTCCTATCCCCCCCCATGTGTCTCATCTTGGTCCTTCTCTACTTCTGATTAAAAATGGTTAGGCACTGACTGAAAGGTCGCAGTTGTTATGGAAACGAGGCCGGTAACAAAAGCTGGACACACAGGTACAGAGGGAGAGAACAAGGGGGGGTTGGAGAGAAAAGAGAGAGATGTGTCTGAATAAACATAAACATGCAATGAGAAGAGAGGGCAGGGAAGAGAGAACGAGAGAGAGGTCTGAATAAATAAAAACATATGCAGAGGGAGGAGTGGCAGCAGGGTCATGAAATGATGGCTCCATCTGCAATAATAAATAACAAAATATAATACCAGGTTTTTATCATTGAGCCACAAAGGTGTGTGTGTGTCTGTGTGTGTATCTGGACAAAGTGGGAGAATGCACCTGATTGATAGGGAGCTGCTGCACAAGCTGGAGAATACTAAAAAGCACAAATTGTTCAGAGAAACGCCGACCAAAAAGCCTGAAATTGTGTGTGTGTGTGTGTCTGCGTTTGAGTACAGGAACGTTGTCTCACTGGGGGCTCATATTATGTTAAATAGTTAGACCAACATCAAACACTCTCTCTCATGCACACACTTCAGTAGAAGCTTGAAGGTGCCAGCCATGTAAATAGGACATCCCAGAGAGAGAGAGACGCGTATAAAGGGGAAGCGACTGACAGAGAGAAAAAGAGAGGAATGAAAGAGATTATACATTCAAAGTGGAGACAAACTGGTGAAAGGATGGGGGAGTGTAAAACTGAGAGAAAGAGAGAGGGCAAGACCAGGAGGGGGTGAGGACAGACAGATATGGAAGGATCAATACATGGCATAAAGTGTATGTTCATTTTTTTACTTAGTGATGTGGAGGAAAAGAGGGAACGAGTGGGAGGGGGGGAAAGAGAGGAGAGAAAAAATCAAGCGGTAGAAAGGAGCTGAAAGAGGGAGGGGACAGCAGAAAGAAAGAGGTGAGCGAAAAGAAGTCAGGCACAATATAAGAGAGCCACAGCATAATAACAAGTCAGAACAACACTGTGGAGTGAGAGTATGTGAGGTTTACAGAGCTAGTTAAAGCTGTATTATTCCATACTTCACATTAACAATGCAAAAAGGGGTGACTCACAGTGATGACCCGACACTGAATTATCACCAGCTCTCTCTCCCTCAGCAATTTAGCCTCTTTTAGCTCTCTGTGTTGGTTTTCCAGCTTGCGAGGTCCACTCTCGTTTCTGAAAACAGCAGGCAGCTGTTTTCACCAGAGAGGTTCTGATAAATCCACAGCACACCACCTGCCCATCACCAAGCAGGTGACAGACAACGTTAGCGAGCGTAGTGGGAGCATCCAGCGGCTAGAGAGCCAGCTATTTCCCTCAGGAGCTGCTAGAGACCAAACCAGAGCTAGATTTGTCAAGTCGCCAGGAAACGCAGTTCCAGATGAATGCTAATGTCGCTTTGTGTCTGATGGCTGTGTCGATAGGCTTACAAACACATCCGCCATTAGAACTTTGCAAGATGATAATAATGTACGTATATAAAAATGAATGCAGACCTTTGATTTAAATTAAACACACACACACACACACACACACATATATATATATACAAGATTTGGTCTCATCTTTTTTGACATTAGACTTTTTGACATTGCATTAGACTTCTACATACAACTGTTATGGAACAGTAGAGACTGAGAGATGTTCGTTTTCAGTGGTGGAAAGTAACTAAGTACATTTACTCAAGTACTGTAATTAAGTACAATTATGCAGTACCTGTGCAACATCATACTTTGACTTCATTACATTTTAGAGGCAAATCTTGTACTTTTTACTCCGCTACATTTATTTTTATTACTTTAGTTACTAGTTACTTTTCAGAACCAGATTAATACAAAAATTCACAGTATTATCACAAGACTTTATTGATCTCTGGTGGAAAATTCACAAGCTACCCAGCAGTATGTAAAGTAAGCATATAAGAGCCGGGTTCTGTCAGAAGTTTCTTTTGTTAAAAGGAGTTTTTCCTCCCCACAGTCACCAAGTGCTTGCTCAAGGGGGATTTGTTGTTTTTATACTGTATAATAATAATGACCTAGACCTTACTATCTAAAGTGTCCTGAGATGACACTGACAGTACTTTTCACTTAACAATCTGGGCCTTAGGTAAAGTGAAAGAGACACTGAGAGACAGATAACATACGTCAAGATGCACAGCAGCAGAAAGAGAGAGAGGCTGGAACAGGATGATGGTGAGACAGACAGGGCGAGTGTGTTTATGTGTGTGAGAGAGATGGGAGTGCAAGAGAGAAGTGTATTCAAATAGTTGAGGGCAAGGTGACAGAGAGAAACAGACGAACAGAGAGGGATAACAAGCTCACAGAGGGGGGACTGTGTGTGTGTGTGTGTGTGTTGGAGAATAAGAGGAAAAAGGGAAGAGGCACAGGGCGGAAGGGGAGAGGGATACAGGAAGTTCAGAGAACAAAAACAAAAACAGTGAGAGTGTGCGAACAGTCAAAGGTGTCAGTGTGCTGTTTGGCTTAATGATGACCCACTGGGCGTGTAGGTCATAACGGGTTGTGTCTCGACTCCATGACTGTGCACCTCTGTGTATACGTGTGTGTGTAAACAGAAACTTACCAGACACACACGTAAAGTGGGTCTCTTAGCATGCGTTTATGAGTGTGTTTGGTCAGAGGTTGGAGCAGCAGTTTTTCTAGCTGGTTGGACTCAAAAGATACTTGCACGCACACACACACACACACACACGCACACTCTTGTGCACCCACATGTGGTGAATTCAGTTTTGGCGTATACACTCATAGCTGCCCTGCATGTCATACACGCACAAGTAATGCACCATGTATGGTACTAAATTATGCACAAATACACACATCTCTTTCTTTTGATCTCACATAATAACACACACACACACACACAGAGGGAAGCTATTATGCTCTCAGGCTGGAGTGTTTTGATGGTATAATTGCAGTGACCAGTGAAGAGAAAGAGACGGAGGGAGGGATGGAAAGAGGGATAGGGATAGAGGGAAAGAAAAAGGAGTGTGCTGACACTCACAGCATGCTAATGTTGCAAAGCTATACCCCTGATTTCATCCCTCCCTCCCTCTCTTTGTCTCTCCATCTTCCTCTCAATCTCACATCCTCTGCATTTCACAGGTGCAGCACTAGAAAGAGAGATGGACAGAAAGGTAGAGAGGTGGAGAGATGAGAGGAAAAGAGGGATGTATAACAGGATGAAGCAGTGTTATCTCTCGCTCTCTCCATCATCCCTCCATCCTCTTCAAGCTCCCCACAATGCTCAAAACAAAGCATCGTTTAAAAAAAAAAAAGAGGTATGGGGAGATGAAAATAGAGGAAGAGGGAGGGTCAGTTTTTTCCATCCCTTTAACAATGGAGGGATGATCTCTGCTTATCCTCTAATCACATTCCTCCTTTTTCTTCTCCTCCCTCCTCTCTGTTATCT